TGAGAGCAAAGCGTTTGGCGATGGTGTCGGCGTACTTTGCGGCGCTGAGGTAGATCGCGTCCTCCTCTTCCCGTACGTTGAGCCTGAGATATGGCGTAATGGTGGACGAGACCGTCAGTGTGAGGTCTTGTTGTAGCTCCCCTTCAAACCAGGTGGTGACGCCGTCGGTTGACCCAATGTAGAGTAGGTCATCTACATAGACGATCAGCAGGATGTAATCGGTGCCCTTTGTGAGCCGGTACATGCCTTGGTCGTGAGGTAGCTGGCAGAATCCGATGCGAATGAGTCTTGCGTGCAGGTACTGCTGCCACAGTCTCGGAGCTTGTTTGATGTTGTAGAGCGACTTCAGGAACTGACAGACTTGGTTGGGCTCTCCGTTGGAGCCGTGCGGTAGCTCGACAAAGATTTCTGCGTCGACAGGTGCGTAGAGAAATGCGTTGGCGACATCAATTTGCCGCAGCTTCTTTGAAGCGAGGAGGATTCACAATGAAGTGTGTCGGCTGACCAGGGCGAATGTCTCATTGAAGTCTCACCCGTGTTCTTGGTCGAAACCGCGTACGACCCAACGCGCTTTAAATTTGTCGATGGTGCCATCTGACTCCGTCTTCACGCGGAAGACCCATTTTCTGGTGATTATTGTCTTGTTCCGTGCTACGCCGATGGGGACGACTTTCCAGATATTACGTTCTTTCGGTGCCTTCAGCTCCGTGTCCATGGCTTCGCGCAATTTTTCCTTATGCTCCCCCCCCCAGAGCCTGTTGAACCATCGCAGGCTCCTTAGAAATGGCTGTCCCGTGGACTGCGGTGACAAGGCCGAGTATCTGAAGTCCACTCTGTGTGTAGCAGGGAAGTGATGTGTCCTCGGGATAAACTGCTTCGTCTCCCGCTTCTGGTGTAGGATTGAAATTTGGTCCTACGCATTCTGCTTCGTTGGTGTTGACTTGTGCAGGTGTAACGTAACCATTGTCGGCAAAGTGGTAGTAAGCTTCGGCGTTGATACTATCGCGCGGGTTTTCGTCGTCCATTGGGACATCAACTGAACAGTAGGGAAGAGGTCCAGCTTCTTCCGAAGCTCCTTCCACGTTCTGCTCGTCCCACTCAGCTTCATCTTCTACCGAAGCGAAGGCTCGAATCCCAAGAAATCCGCCCGAGAGGTCTGGGTTGTTCTCGTCCACGTGGGCAAGGTATGTCCGGAGGGTGAGGTTCTCGTAGAAGATGACATCACGTACTACGACTGTTTCCTTTGTCTCAACGTCAAAAATCTTCCATGCGTTGTAATGCTTTTCGATGCCTAGGTGTAGTCCCCACTGTGCGCGTTGGGAGAATCAACCGGCTCGTGTAGATGGGGGTCGGTATTGTACCATCAGCCGAAAATTCGTAACATTTTTGTGCTGCCCAGTTTTCCTGTCCACAGCAGATGCGGTGATGCGTTGTTCGGGAGCGATGATGACAAGAGCAAGTTGTGCAGCATGACAGCGTGGTCCATTGCTTCGGGCCACTGGTGGTTGGGCAGTCGCATGCTTCGTAGCAGCTTGCGCATGGTGTTCTGGAGAGTCTTGTTCATCCTTTCTGCTACGCCTTGTTGCTGGTGAGCGTAGGGAAGAGAGATGAGCCTTTTGATCCCTCTTTCTGTCAGGGTTCTGCTTGAACCTCTGTGAGGTGTATTCTCCTCCTCCATCGGACTGGAAGCTTTTTAGCTTCACGCCCGATTCTTGTTCTGCTACTAGGAGCCAAGCGACGAAGGCTTCGAAGGCCATGTCCTTGCTTGGGAGGTTGAGGTGCCAAACGTAGTGTGTGGCTGCATCGATGAACGTGATGGTGTAGTTGTATGCATTATGTCCGGGTTCGCGATTGTGCAGTATGTCGCTGTACACCTTTTCCAGAGGTGCGTATGCAGGTGCGCTTGGATTGTGATGCGAGACGAATGGTTGGTGGGGTAAGTCGGCTTCTAGACAGGTGAAACACGTTCCACGGACTCGCTGGAGTTCTCTGCTGACGGTTAGAAGTAATGAATCTTTGTCGAGCATGCCTCCTTGTATCGTGTTGTTTAACACTGTGTTGCTTGGGTGTCCCATTCTTGTGTGCCACATTGCTTCAGTGGCGCGATGTCCGGGTGAGCGCCGATACATATCGGAGTTGGAATAGAAGCTGGCGGTGAAGTTGGCGCTTTGATGAACTTCTCGTGGTGCCGGGTTTAGCTGCTGCACAGGTGTCGGTGGTGTAACGTCAACGAAGATCGGTGTCGTTGAAGGACCGGGGATTGGTGTTGATGTTGCCACTACTGTTACCGTTGTCTCTGCTGCTGCCGTTGCTGTCTTTGCTGCTGCCGATTTTGTCTCTGCTGCTGCCGATGTTGTCTCTGCTGTTGCCGATGTTGTCTCTGCCGGCTGTTGAATTATCGCTAACGCTCTTGTTCTTTCTGCTTCAGGGATGGTTTCCGAGTACCAAAAGCCTCCAGGACTGAAGTCTGGGTCAAGATCCGGTGGATGTGTCCAAGGGGTGAAGGAAACAATCCCATCACTGTCAGCGATGCCGAGATCTGGAACGAGGTCAAGGACAAAGACGATGTTCTTCAGGACTGCTTTGCCGATATAGAGACCTCCTCTCCCGTGGTACAGCTTGAAATCTTGGGTGGTGCTATCTGCTTCGAGGTGTATCCCCTTCGCCATTAAGTGACTGACGCTCAGTAAGTTGTAGCCGAGTCCTTCTGCTATTAAGACCTTTGACTTCTGCAGTATGACGTTTGTTTCCCGTGACTGAAGTTGAACCACGCCTTGTCGTCGTGTACGCAGTATCTGATTGTTGGCGATGGTGATGACGACTTCGCGTTGGAGTTGATATTCCCGTTGAACGAAGCAACCCGAGGAGCACATATGTTGCCCACAGCAAGTAACCAAGAACCAAGTGTCCTTTCCAGATGGCTCGCTTTGGGCGATGGTTGCATACGTCGGATTCAGTTGAAGTGACTCGCGGCGATGTGTACTGTTTTCGAATTGCTCTTCAGGTGAGTAATGCGGCGGTGACTCGATGATGCAGGAGTCAGTTAGTCTTGCCATGCAACTGAAAATGTTTCTTGCTCCTTGCGCAGGTTGTCCCGTCGATGTTGTTGAGGCTTGTACTTGAATGGTAGGGTACACTTGTGTAGAAGTGACCTGACTGCTCGAGGGTCGAAGCTGACGCTGCGTTGTTATTGACTGTTGTTGGTTGGGGCAGTGCATGCAAGGGTGTCCTGACATCTTGCAGATGTGACAGAACAGAGGTCCTGGCTTCGGTTGTTGTCGGTTGTTGTTGTTGTTGTAGCGCCGCTGAGTGTGAAAGGCGAACTCAGATGTTAACGTCTTCCTCTTGTGTCTTTCTTCTTGTAGGTCCATGTCTTGCTGCTCGGCATGAATTTTGGCGCAAAGTGCTGCTTCGGAGATTCTTCCGTGGGATCGAAGAATAGCTCGAGTGGAGCGCCAATGAAGACTAAGTTCCGCGATGATGACCGTCATGAAAGCGTCTTCAGATATTGTTCCTCCGCATCGAAGGAGCTTGTCACACAACTCGCGACAGCGACTGATAAATGCCATCCCTTTTTCGTCTGGTTTCATTTCCACTGTTGTTAAATGCGCCATTAACCGACTCTGGTTTATGCTGTCTGTTGCTTGATACAGGCTCTTCAAGTGGTTGTATGCGAGCTCGGCAGAGTTGCCGTATCCACGGTAAGACCGTATATTCTGCTGCTAATTCGGAGTGATGTTTCTCAGTAGAATCGTGTACACCATCATTGACTAATACGTGTACTGCTATTTATTATACTATGTGCCGTGTGTTGGGTATGGCAGGGATCCGTCGAAGAAGCCAAGAATCTGCGTGCCTTCCATCATTAATTCGAACTCGAACGACCAGGTGAAGAAGTGTCAGGCATATATGCTATAGTCTGTGTAGGCTGTAGTGGGGCAGTTCATATGGGGTACAACACTTTAGGGTTTACTACTTGTACTCCTCATTCTGCTCAATGCCTCCATTCCTCGTTTCTTATCATGGTATCGAGCAGGTTCCATAGTGGGAACGATTCCTAGGGCCCACCACGATATTTTTTTTTCCTGCCCGGAGCCACTTTGCTCCTGCCCGAGTCGCGCTATGTGTGCCCTCCCTACCGTCGCGCCCTCTCACGGCCCCTTCGCGTCACCTTTAGCGGCCCCTCTCACGGCCCCTTACGCCGCCCTTACGGCCCCTCGCGCTGCCCTTTACAGCCCCTCGCGCCGCCCTCTACGGCCCCTCGCGCCGCCCTTATGGCCCCTTACGCCCCCCCCGCGACGCCCGTCGGCTCCCCTCGCGGCGCCCTTACGGCACCTTATGGCCTCGTCGCCGCCCCGTCTAGGCCCCTTACGGCCTCGTCGCCGCCCCGTCTAGGCCTCTTGCGACCCCTCTACGGCCCTGTCTAGGCCCCGTGCGGCCCCCTCTACGGCCCCGTCTAGGCCCCTTGCGGCCCCTCTGCGGCCCCGTTGCGGCCCCTTGCGGCCCCTCTGCGGCCCCGTCGCCGCCACCTGCGGCCCCGTCTCCACCACCTGCGGCCCCGTCGCCGCCAGTTGCGGCCACGCAGCCGCCACTTGCGGCCTCGCCGCCACCTGTGGCCCCGTCACCCTCCCCTAGCAGCCACGTCGCCGCCTCCACCGGCCCTGTCACCGCTCAGCCGCCCAACGACCGAGCCGCCGAGCAGCCCAGCAGCCAAGCCGCCGAGCAGCCGAGCCGCCCTGCAGCCGAGCCGACCAGCAGCCCAGCCGCCCACCAGACGAGGAGCTGAGCCGCCCAACAGCCGAGCCGCCCACCAGCAGAGCCGCCGAGCCGCACAGCAGTCGAGCCGCCCAGCAGCCGAGCCGCCGAGCCGCCCTACTGTCGATCCGCTGCTGTTCCTACTGGTGAGCTCACTCCCTACTAGGCCACTACAGTCATGGCTACCCCCAGTGTCCTTACTTTTGATGCTCAGGGCCGTGCCGTTGACTTTGAGGTTTGGGTTGATGACCTTTAGCTGTTCCTCCAGTGTGCTAGGGCAGACGGCCTCTCTCTGTTTGACCTCACCTGTGGTGCCTCCCCTGCCCCGCCTGCTACTACTGACAGCACTGTTCGCTCACAGTGAGCGACACACGATGCTGCTGCCCGTCTTGCTGTGCGTCGCCACTTACCGACCACTGAGCGTGCACACTTAAGCCAGTACAAGAGTGCTCAGACCTTGTACGACACTGTAGTTGCACGCTACTCTTCCCCTGCCACTGCTGCACTGAGCCGCCTCATGCTACCGTACCTCTTCCCTGACCTTGCTGCCTTTCCCACAGTCGCTGACCTCATTACGCACCTCCGCACTAGTGACACTCGTTACCGCGCTGCGCTTCCTGCTGAGTTCTGCGCCAAGAACCCCCCCCCTCTACTACATAGTCACCCGGCTCCCTGACTCTCTTCGCATAGTCAGGGACCACTTCCTCTCAGTTTGCCCCACCACTCTCACCGTTGACCTCCTCGAGAAGGCCCTCCTAGCAGCAGAGAAGAGCATAGTCGCTGTAGGAGCCTCTCGTGGTGACCCTCGCACCCCCGTCTTTGAGGGGTGTTCCCCCTCCCCCCTCTTGCCCTCCGTTGCTTCTGCTGCTGCGGCCAACCTCGTTGGTTTGGAGTCGGTCGGCGCCGCGTCTGCCCCTAGCGGGAAACGCCGCACCGGCAAGGGCAAGGGAAGCAAGGGCGCTGGAGGGGCTGGCGGGGGCGGTGGAGGTGGTGGTGGAGGCAGTGGAGGGGGTGGGGGTGGTGGTGGGAGTGGTGGCGGGGGTGGAGGTGTCGGTGGCAGAAGTGGTGGCGGAGGAGGCGGTGGCGGTGGCGGAGGTAGCGGAAGCGGCGGAGGTGGTGGAGGCGGCGGAGGTGGCGGAGGCAGCGGAGGCGGCGGAGGCGGCGGAGGCGGCGGAGGCGGCGGCGGCAGCAGTGGACCTGGTCGCGGCTCTTCGCAGAGGAGTGGCTCCGGTGGTGGTCCGCGCCAACAGCAGCAGCGCAGTCAGGAGACCCTGTCCTCTCAGCAGCTTCGTGAGTGGTACGCTGCGCGTCAGCGCGGTGGGGTTACTAGGCACTGCACTTACGTCCTCCGTTCCGGCGACCGAGATGGTGAGCAGTGCGGGGGCCCGCACTCCACCAAGCGCTGCTTTGGTCGACTCACAGACGCGTGGCATCGCCAGTTCCCTGAGGCGTCAGAGATCCCTCGCTAGGGAGATCTGTCTAGGGCGGGGGTTGCCATCTTTGATCTTGACTATGATGCTATCCTTGCTGCCATGTATTCTGTGACTACTAGTGTTGAGGGTGACTATTTCTTGTGTGTACCGCCTGACCCGGGCATTAAGGCCACTGCTCTAGGTGCTGGTGAGGCTGCTGCTCTCGGTGCTAGTGCGTCTGCTGCCCCAGGTGCTTGTGCGTCTACTGCCCCAAGTGCTGGTGAGTCTGCTCTCTCAGGTACTACGTCGGCTCAGGCCTTACACACCTTCACCCTTGACTCGGGTGCGTCCCGCTCCTTCTTTCGAGACCGCACCACTCTTACGCCGCTCAGTCGGCCGGTTGCAGTCTCCTCGGCGGACCCCTCTGGGGGTCCTGTCCTTGCTAGCTTCTCCACTGTCTTACCGTGCCTGGCAGCCCCCTCTAGCACCCTATCAGGTCTCTACCTCCCCTCGTTCTCTATGAACTTGGTGAGTGGAGCGGACCTACAGGATAGGGGGGTTGACCAGTTCACTCTAGCGAGTCAGCAGGTGACCCACTGCACGTGTGCTCGGACATGCCGACACTTGGCCACGTTCACCCGTCGACCAGGGTCGAGCCTGTACACCCTTACTACTGAATTTTCTCCGGCTGCTGAGTCTGGCCAGGTAGCTGCGTCGAGTCAGGTGTTTGCTGCAGCGTCCAGGTCTGGTCCTGAGTTTGCTCCCTGCTCGTGTCGTCTCTTGTCCCACCAGACTCTCCTCTGGCACCATCGCCTTGGTCACCCCTCCCTGCCTCGTCTCCGAGGCATGGCCTCACGTGCTGTTCCCTGCGTCTTCCTCGGCTTCCCCCCTGACCGGCAGGGTGGCAGTTCTACCACCCCACCTCGCGCCGTGTTCTGTCCTCCTAGGACGTCACCTTTGACGAGTCGGTGCCTTACTACCGTCTCTTCCCCTACCGCGCTGCACCCCTTCCCCCGCCGCCGCTCTTTCTTGTGCCAGATCCTCCCCCGGTAGACCCCCTCCCCCCTCAGAGTCCTGCCCTGTGAGGTGTGTCCCAGGTAGAGGATGTCGAGCCTGTCGAGGTAGCTGTTGACTCTGGTGCTGCTAGAGGTGCTGAGCCTGCAGGTGCTGAGTCTGGGGGTGCTGAGCCTGGGTTTGCTGAGACTGGGGGTGCTGAGCTTGGGGGTGCTGAGTCTGGGGGTGCGGAGCTTGGGGGTGCGGAGCCTGGGGGTGCGGAGGTTGGGGGCGTTGGGTCTGCTCGTATGGCCGCCGGCGGTGCTTCGTTGAGGCGGGAGCCACTCTCACCGCATGAGCTGCGCGAGTGGTTTGCCCGGCGCTGGAGTCGTGCTGCTGGAGCTGGAGGCACTACTGTTGGTGATGGTTCCAGAGGTGCTCGCATTGGCGGTACTGGAGCTGCTGGGACTGGGGGTGCGTCTAGAGCTGCTGGAGTTGGTCCTGCCGGAGCTGCTTGCGGTGCTTGAGTTGTCGGTTCTGCTGGAGCTGGTACTACTGGAGTTACTGGAGCTAAAGCTATTGGGGGTGTTGGCGCTGGTGATTCTGCTGGCGCTGGTCCTTCTGAGGGTGCTGAAGCTGACGCTGTTGGAGCTGGAGGTGCGGCTGGCGCAGGTGCTGCTGCTCGGGGTACTGGTGCCATCCCTGCTGGTTCTGGAGGCGCTACGCGGCCGAGGTCGTACTTCGCTCCGCTCCTTGAGCAGGTTCTTGGTCTCCCGCCCTCTACTGGTCCTGCTCCTCCCTTAGAGTGTCCACTGCCCGTCCGGTCGCAGTCACAAATACAGCTCGCCTCCCCTCTTCTTGCTCCTTCTCCCTACACTGGTCCTACTAGAGGTCTTGCTGAGCGTCGTGAGCCTGCGTCTCGTCCTGCGTCGCCTGTTCGTGCTGCTCGCACTAGTAGTCATGCTTCGCGTCCGCGTCCTCCTGCGGTCCCAGGCACACACCAGATGGCACTGCGTCCTTCCACTGCTCCTCTACGTATCCCGTTGCCGTCTCCTCCAGAGTCCTCTCTTCCTGTTCTTGCTGACCCGGAGTCGGACTCTCTTCGTGCTGCCAGTCCTACTGTCACGCGTCTCCTCGCTACTGTTGTCACTAACCCTTCCTTTGAGTCCATTGCTGCGTCTCCCTTGGTTGCTGAGCTTGTCGACTTTGCTGCTCGTTTTCGTCTAGACTTCGCTGCTAGTCTTGTTGCTGAGTCTGAATCTGTCTGTCCTCCGTCCGTCGGGGGTAAGTGTGCTCTTAGCACGGACGTCCTTGAGGAAAGGCAGGAGGAGTTCCCGTGTTTTGCTGCTGCTTTGCCTCATCTCGTGTCCACACTGATTGCCCTTGAGGGAGACCCAGATGCACCAGACATCCCGACTCCTCGATCATACGCTGAGGCGATCGAGGGTCCCTAATCCTTTCAGTGGCAGTCACCCATGGACGCAGAGATGGCTTCCTGGAAGTCTACAGGCACCTACGCCGACGAGGTTCCCCCACCTGGGGCGAACATCGTCGGTGGCATGTGGATTTTTAGGGTGAAGCAGCCGCCGTGTTCTCCGCATGTCTTGAAGGCGCGTTACGTGGCTTGAGGCTTCAGTCAGCGGCAGGGAGTTGACTGCTTTCAGACCTTCTCTCCCACCCCGGAGATGACCACTCTTCGGGTGCTCCTGCACATAGCCGCTCAGCACGACTACGAGCTTCACTCTCTTGACTTCAGCACTGCTTTCCTGCAGGGCAGCCTGCACGAGGAGATCTGGCTGCGCCGCCCACCTGGCTTCATTGGGTCGACTTGTCGACTTTGCTGCTCGTTGTCGTCTAGAATACGCTCCCAGCCTAGTTGCTGAGTCTGAGTCTGTCTGTCCTCCGTACGTCGGGGGTGAGTGTGCTCTTAGCACGGACGTCCTTGAGGACAGGCATGAGGAGTTCCAGTGCTTTGCGGCTGCTTTGCGCCATCTCGTGTCCACGCTGATTGCCCCTAAGGGAGACCCAAATGCACCAGACATCCCGACTCCTCGATCGTACGCTGAGGCGATCGAGGGTCCCTACTCCTCTCGGTGGCAGTCAGCCATGGACGCAGAGATGGCTTCCTGGAAGTCCACAAGCACCTACGTTGACGAGGTTCCCCCACCTGGGGCGAACATTGTCAGTGGCATGTGGATCTTTAGGGTGAAGCGGCCGCCGGGCTCTCCGCCTCTCTTCAAGGCACGTTACGTGGCTCGTGGCTTCAGTCAGCGGCAGGGAGTTGACTTCTTTCAAACCTTCTCTCCCACCCCGAAGATGACCACTCTTCGGGTGCTGCTGCACATAGCCGCTCAGCGCGACTACGAGCTTCACTCTCTTGACTTCAGCACTACTTTCCTGAAGGGCAGCTTGCACTAAGAGATCTGGCTGCGCCGCCCACCTGGCTTCACTGGGTCGTTTGCTCCTGGTACCCAGTGGACCCTCCGGCGGCTAGTCTACGGTCTCCGCCAGGCGCCCTGTGAGTGGCACGACACATAGAGGACTACACTTGCGACTCTTGGGTTTGCTCCTTCTACACCCAACCCGACGCTGTTTCTGCGCACTGACACCTCTTTGCCGCCGTTCTACATCCTCGTGTACGTCGACGACTTGGTCTTTGCCACAGCTGACACTGCTGGACTTGCCCACGTGAAGTCCGAGCTGCAGAAGAGACACACGTGCACAGACCTGGGTGAACTGCGCAGCTACCTTGGCTTGCAGATCACCCGGGACAGAGCACAGCGCACCATTACCCTGACTCAGTCACACATGGTGCAGCAGGTCCTTCAGCACTTCGACTTCACGTACTCCTCGCCTCAGGCCACTCCTCTGTCTACTCGCCACTCGCTCTCAGCTCTGCCTTTGGATGAGTCCGTAGAGCCGAGTGGCCCGTACCCAGAGCTTGTTGGCTGCCTCATCTACCTGATGACCTGTAGACGACCTGACCTTGCATACCCTCTTAGCATCTTTGCACGCTATGTTTCTCCTGGGAGACACCGACCACAGCACATGGCTGCAGCGAAGAGGGTGTTGCGCTACTTGTGCAGTACGTCAGGCATGGGGCTAGTGCTTGGAGGGTGACGTCGAGTGGTCCTCACAAGTCACGCTGACGCTTCTTGGGCTGACAACCAGCCGGCACAGCGGTCGTCACAGGGTTGAGATCTAGTCTTCTGTTCTCTCCTCCAGCTGTGAGGCTGAGATCTACGCGGGGGCCATGGCTGCACAGAAGCTACGCTGGCTCACCTACCTACTGAATGACCTAGGAGAGCCGCCTGGTTCTCCTCCAGTTCTGTACGTAGACAACAAGGCCATGCTGGCCTTGTGTCGGGAGCACAGACTGGAGCACAGAACGAAGCACATTGCTTCCGCTACTTCGTGGCTCGTGAGCTGCAGCAGCGTGGTCAGCTCCGCCTCACCTACGTGGCCTCTGAGGCCAACACTGCAAATATCTTTACCAAGGCCCTTCCGCCTTGTGATCTTTGGCGCTTTTGTGTTATGCTAGGTCTTGTGCCTATTTGGCCTCACTTGCTCACATCTTGACCTTGTTTGTACTGTACTCTCTTTATACCTGTACTTGCTTGTTTACCTTCATATATATGATCTTGCATGTCAATTGTCCTTGTGGCCTTGCTCTTGTGCTCGTACTGTGTGGTGACGTTGTGATCCACCCTGAGCTTGCTTTGCTTTTCTTTGTTTGACTGGTCTTGTGACCCCTTGTTCTCCTCCATTTTGCCTATGGGGGTGTGTCAGGCATATATGCTATAGTTTGTGTAGGCTGTAGTGGGGCAGTTTATGTGGGGTACAACACTTTAGAGTTTACTACTTGTACTCCTCATTCTGCTCAATGCATCGATTCCTCGTTTCTTATCAAGAAGTCCTTTCCGTCGAAGGGTCGTGACGTCTGCAGTTTTGAGACGTGCTTGAACTGCGACTGAACTTGAAGCGCGTCTAGCGTCTTCTTTTGTCCAGGTGAAGGCTGTGGGTGTGGTGCGAAGCTAATGGAGCCGCGTTGTGGCTCGTATGGTGCAAAGGTAGGCTGCTGCTGTTGATTTCTGCGCGCGTATGATGAACCATCAAGGCTCATTGGAGTCACATCGTTGTTGTTGTTGATGTTGTTCGACTGCGCAGGTGCCGACTGTTGGTGTTGCTCGTAGAAGGACATGAAGGAGAAGAACTTCTCCATATGCTCTGATCGAAGCCTGCAAGTTTATTTCCAGGAGTCACAGTAGACGTTGCTCTTGGTCTTGTTGCCGTACCCTCCTCTGTTTGTAGGCCGGATGCAGGAGGTGGAGTGGGAGTTGTCAGTAGATCTGCACTGTGGATGCCCGATTGATCCTGGAGAGGGTTACAGGCGCGTTCGTCTAGGGGGTTATGGGCGCACTGACCCGCTACTGGAAAAAATCCCTTTTATCTCAATGGTCTAGTGGTTGAGATTCTGACATGGTATCAGAGCGGTATCGGTTTCGATTCCCGGTGTATGCACTTGTAGGCCGTGCCGCTGTGCTTAGTCCTGGGCCTCCCACTGTAGGGGGGTGTCAGTAGATCTGCACTGTGGATGCCCGATTGATCCTAGAGATGGTTACAGGCGCGATCGCGTGGGGGGTTATGGGCGCACTGACCTGCTACTGAAAAAAAAAACCCTTTTATCCCAATGGTCTAGTGGTTGGGATTCTGACAGGAGTAGTACTAGGAGAACCATTAGAGGAACTCCTTTCTTTCTGAGTAGCCATGCCTTCTGATGTTGTAGGTGTCTTGATAGTGGAATTTGTTCCGATACCTCTCATACCATGTTGGGCTGAGAAAAGCCTTTAGGATCTTTGCATGACTAAATTCCTAGTAGGACTAATGAAGCCTTTCAATGAAGTCTTTGAACCACCTTGCGCTAGTGTGTGAGGGCAAAGTAGATTGATTAAAACAAAGAGATACAAGCCTTTTATAAGAGTACAAGGGAATATGAAGGGTTATAACTAATAACTGTTTTTCTATTGCTGTTGTGGTTTGATACAGTGACGACTCGGGCAACTGCTCAATAGCGAGTCAGTTGTTTGTCCTTGCTGTCGCGCTGTACT